TTAGACATCGATCATGGAACATAGGGTTTGCGTTCTGCGCGATATGCAATTGTTGTTGAGATAGACACTTACCCGCAATGGAAACCTCTGCGGGGGAATAAGGTTACAAATTGAGGAACATCCACCCCCTCCGCGAGTGATAGCAGGTGCTCGTGTGCACGTTGAGCCTTTTGGCGAGCAGTGCTGCAACATGGGCCACAGTCGGAGTCTGCAAGAAACATGTCACGATGCCACAACAGAAGAGTGTCATAATGGAAATCATAACATACTTACTAATGATGGTGGTGTCCCCTCGCATCCCTCGCACGTACGATCGCCGTACTAGTCGACTCCGAGGTGCCGCACGCCGTCACGACAGTCGTATGGCGGATGGCCGGAGGAGACGCGGGGGAGGCAGCTCGGCCCCATCCCCTGCACTGACGGTTCTCGTTCTCGTCTCTGTCCCAGTGCCACCGCCGCCGCTATCTAGGCGAGGGCTAGTCCATGTGCGTCCGCATGTGGTCACCCGCGCCAGGTCGCGATATGAGCGGCTCAGCCCACAATCGGCATCTCATTCAGTCCAGTCTCCTCCGCTCCAGGGCATCTGCGGTAGTTATAGATACAGGGCACATCACTGTGAACCTCCCTGCTCTGCGTATGTACGATCAATGCGGCGTCAGTCCTACACCTTTCCGAGGATGTGGCTACTCCATGGCGTAGGACTTACCGAAACACTTTGGACTTTTCACTGGTTCGTGTGCAAGATCCCAAAGGTATGTCTCTGCATTTCTGAGACTGCGTATGTCGAATTTAACGAGAACGAGGTCGAGGACAGAATCCGATCGCCACAATTCTTCTCTGAGGTGGTGTCACGGTTGCGGCGTCACAATGCCGCGCACGCCGGTTTCTCTCTCCGCTCGTTCCGCGCACGGCTTGGTGATGGGACAGCCATCAAGTTGGTTGCCGCCGCCGCCACGACCCCCAACTGGGTTACGATTCCATGATCCGAGATGTGGCTGATAGTCACACCGATGAAGCCTTTCCGAGAATCTCTCCAGGCCGCAGTTCATATGTCCATGTTTCGCAAACTTATCAGACACATCTGGCCGTCAGAGTCGCCGAGGCGCGTTCTGATGAGTTCCCCGAGATATTCCCTCACCTCGACTCCTGAGAGAATCAGCAGATGCTGTTCACCACATGCAGATCCCATATGAAGCCTTCATATTAATTTGGGACGGACGGGGCGCCGTGAGTTCAACATTCAATACGGGCCATGTGCCGCTATAGCGCAGCGGTGCTCCCGGCAGGTTGTCAGTCCCCAATCTACCCAGAAGCAGCAAGCCCCTCGCGGACGTTCGCAGGCAGACGAATGAATAGCAGCGACGAGGCACATGGAAAGAAGCCAGCGGGGGACTGCTCCGCAGCACTTTCCAGTTCGCGAACACGCACCTCCGCCGCATCGGATGATACAGAGTCTAGAAGACCAAAGAGAAGCAGACGGGCTGCAGGAGACGCGCGATGAGCCAGCAGGTCGGGATCACGAGAGCATGTCATGTTCTACATGGGCCGTATATCGAATACATGGAGGAGACGTGTGTATGTCAAATACATGTGTAGGAGATGTGTGTATGTCGAATACAGGAGAGAGCACCGTCGAGATGATGTGTATCACGGATACAGAGCACAATGCTAGATTGTGGAGAGCGAGCGTGGAGAGCGTGAGATAACGTGAATGCGTCGGGAACAGATAAAAAAAGATAAGCTTAAGATGAACAAGAATCGAAAGTTAAAATGAGCCGGCAGAGCCTACGCTGCCGGATCGAGGGACCTCGTGAAAAGCACTTGTTTAGACCGGATATGCGGAGCCACGAACGGTGGAGATCCACGACTGGCTTGCAGAGGGGAACTAGGACAGAAGGTAAATTAACAGACTGATATGGAAAATGTAGAAACGCCACATACCTCCCAGACCATGACACCCGCATCTACGGGGGACAATCTGTCAGCATTCGCGCGGACGACATAGCAAGATAACACTCACTCCAGCCCTTGCCCTTTGCCTGATCGACGCATGTAGCCAATGTGGCGGGGTCCATGTACCCATTGGTGGCGTCGGAGGCGGTCGCGGGCTTGCCGATGACCAGCTTGTTGAGGTCGACGCCTGCAGCGGCGATCTCGAAGACCGACGTCTTGGGCCAAGTGCTAGAGGACTGGGTGAGGAGTCCGGTACAGTCAGTGTACTCGGAGGCACCCTCTGCAAGAACAATCAGCACCGGGCCGGAAAAAGCCGATCACGATGTACTCACGGTTGTAGAACTTTGATCGCGAGGAGAACGTGCCAAGTTAGTAACACAGCCTACATGCAAGACGAAGGGCGGCTCACTTGAACGTTGTACTGCATGGGAGAGTCGTATCAGCGTGTGTAAGATGGTAGCCGAAACAAAGATGCTCACCCAATCAATCATGCTGCCGACTTGCTGGTCGACCTGGAGGTAAGCACCACCCTGGAACTGGGCGTTGTTGGAGAACCAAGGTGCGACCGCTGGCAGACAGACGCGGTGAGATACAGGTTCGTATAGAGATACAGATACGTACGGGCGTGAGTGATGATGTACTGGCCGGAAGGCAGTTGGCTACGGAGTTGAGTGGTGAACTTGACGAGCCAGTCGACGGCGCCGTTGCCGGAGTTGATGGCGTCAAAGTCCTATAGCGCGAGTGAGCGTCGAGAACAGTGAGCTGTGGGCACGGACATACCTCGTAGTCAATGTCAATGCCGTCAAGGTCGTACTGCTTGACCCAGGCAGCCATGGTGTTGGCGGTGTTGACGGGGTCGTCGCCGGAGCTGGTGGGAGCTTCAGTGGATCCGAAGGCGGAAACGATGAGCTTCACGCCGGCGGCGTTGTACTGGGACTTGATGGAAGCTCGGGTGGACGCATCGAGCTCTTCCCATTCCTGTGCCTGGTCAACGGAGCCAGACGCGAGGAGGAAGGAGAGAGCACTGGGGAAGAGATTAAAGATGGGAGTAAAAGGATGAAGATGTAGACGTACAAGACGTTGTAGCCATTGATCTCTGAAACGTTTGGCGGGCCGTTCTCGCCAGAAACCCATGCATCACTGTAGACGAGGAAGTGAGGGCCGGAGGAAGAGGTGGAGCCGCCTGAACCAGAGGTAGAGTTGGAGGAGCCAGAGCCGGAGGTGGAGTTGGAAGAACCAGACCCTGAGGTCGTGGTGGGGACGGGGGCAGAGGAAATGGGAGTGGAGGAGACGGCAGGGGCAGAAGAAATGACGGGGGTAGAGACGGCGGGGGAGGAGACGACGGGGACAGAGGAAACGACGGGAGTAGAAGAGACAGCGGGGGCAGAGGAAACGACGGGTGTGGATGTCAGAGTGGGGGTAGCAAAGGAAGAGGTAAAGGTAGGGAGGGAGCCGACGTTAGCGATTCCGCTTGTTGAAGATGTGGAGTTGGACGAGCCTGTTCGGACGCCCGAGCTGGAAACGGAGCAAATGGGAGCCGCGAGGGCTGAGCTCGCGCAGGCCACGACGGCGGCGGCGGAGACAATGCGAGAGAAGGAGAAGAACATTGTCGGGAAAACCTCTGAATGAATGGGGGGAAGGAGGGGCGGAAAAGAGGGAGGGGAGTGAGCCGGGGGGGAGAAGGAACGGCGGGGACGCTGAGAGCAGGTCTGGGGAACATGACGGGCGATGAGCAGCTTATATACCGCAGCGGGCAGGGCGAGTTTAATTTTCGGCGGCGACGCTAGAATGGGCGTTCGATCTGATCGAGGGCCGTCTTGTCTGTGCCAGTGCAAAACTTCCTTTCCGACGCGCGCACGTGCCTGCCCTCATGTCTGTTTTTTTTTTTGTTTTTTTGTTTTTCCCTCTCCATGCCCCTTATGTCTGTTTTATTCTCTGTCCGTGCCCCGAAACATGAAAATGACAGAGATTCCATCCCCGCTATAGGCCTTGTCGCTGCTAGCGGGCGTCCGGCACTCGCGCCTCTCCATTCGCTTTGCCCCGCTCCAAACTGACTCTGCCTCTCCGGCGAGCTGACGCCTGCGGTGCCAATGCCATTCCCGCGCATCTATCGCTCCCCGTGTTCGCCTCCACGCCCGTCCTCGCCTTGTCTCCCCCGTGCCCGCATCCGCGCAGCAGAAGCCTTGTCTCCCGCCTGCAGCCGACCGTCCATGCGAGGCCACGACGACGTAGCACCCTCATGGTCCCTCTATCCGGGCACAACTTTGTATCGTTCTTGGCTGAGATCTTGTCTGCCAACTGCATCTCTGGATCCCAGGCTGCTTGATAGATGCCCCGCAGCGCCCGTAACATGATGTGATCCGTTCTCATCTCCACGGCTGCCGTATCGTCACCCACCAGGCTGCCCAGTTACCGCACATATCCAGGCTAGCAACGGAGACGTTACCACATGCCTGGAACGCACGCACCACATGCGCCCAGCTTCCCAATGTGCCCCTCCTCCAAGCAACCCGTGCGTGCATATGCTACTGAGACTCGACTCGACTCGACTCGACTCGAATACTTCCGCCTTCGCGACCGCAACAGGCGGACGCGCTCCCCCAGAATTTCAGATACCAAAGTGAGTGTCCTCGCGGCGACTTCCGCCCGTGGCAGCTGCATCGATGGCCTGCAGGTGGCCGTGTACGTCCTGCACTCAATCATTTATGAGAGCTGCTGTGAAGACCGCGGGCCCATCACCTCCTGGTTCGAATTTCCCCGGCCGAGCACAAGAAGGGGCGGAAGTGGAGCCTGACCGTGTGCAGTCGACGGGTCCATATCGGGGGTCCTGTGCACGAGCAGCCCTGTGCTTGTACGTCCAGCCGCCGTACATAATGCATGGCCCGGTGCGCCGGCGTCCCCCATCGTTATCTTCATTCCGGCTGCTTTGTCTCGCACACCTCTTCTTTCATCCTTACGCAACGGAAATATTCAATACACACCAATCACATCCTCGTGGTTCGAGCCAGGTCGATCCCGCAGCCCCCTCTGGTGCGGTTTCAACGCCGGATCACTGCGTAGCGGTAATGGGAAATTAACGCAGGTGGCGCGCAGCGAGGCGTGTTCACAAATCGATGAATGGAGGGACGCAATTCCGATGATAGTGTATCCTTTGTACTACAATCACGACTCGCTGTGCACACTGCACAAGGCCCACCTAAGTATAAAGCGCGTTATCTCTTAGACTCGTTCTTGCGGTGAGCTCTGTTGCTGTCCCCACCCTCGCAGATGCCTATCTGCCACTGTGAGTGCACCTAATACCTCGTCGGCCCCCATCGTGGTCTCCCGTCTCGCGCGGCAGCCCAGTGTGCATCACAACGATGAACGTCCCGCCATTCCCGCGCGGCAGAGCCATATTGCCTCTGCGCCGCCCCGGATAACGCGAGACCGATCTACTTCACCCGCAGGCTGGCGCATACAACCGGTCCCAGTGTGCTCGCTCGGAAAAGACATGAATACATTCTTGACCAAATAGTATGGGTCCATGCTCAGGCTATTCACTTCTCTGGCAGGAGCACGATACTGAGCCGTGACGGCGCGGGGTCGAGGGCAGGAGCCTCAGTGTCGCGACAGGATGGTCCGCTCTTTGAGGCGGGCGGTTCCGCACAGACCGCGACGCGATTGGATTCAGTAGCGTCGATGAGATGGGGTCTGTCCTTTGAAAGCAACGTACGCCGCACTCGCTCGTGTTGCGTCTAGCTACTAACACGCGCACCTCTTCCGTGTTGTACGCGTGGTCTGCAGTGGATGGGCTCAAACGGTGTCCAGACCAACGCCATGACTGGATGGGATGCATGTATGCAGCCTGTCCGGTGTTCTGGCTACTCATCAAAGCATGCTGCTGGCAGGGGCCGTGACTCTGGTATTGTGGTCAGCTCTGGAATGGCAAACGCTGCGCGTGTGTGAGCGAATCCCTGCCAGTGGATATTGTATATTTGCTCGCACTCGGCGGATCTTACTGCAGGATGGCGAGGTCCCCGTCGATAAAGAACAAGGCTGCTGTACAAATGATTGTCTGGCAGTACGTTCCTCGGCGGGCCTCGCACATCTGACCACGCGTGCGACACGAGTATTCACCGCGTTCAACGAGGCCTCTGAAATCTCTTGGGCACATTGATGGTGAGCGTCTCGCAGATGATCGCCTCGACGTTCCTAGACATTCAATGCGCCGCGGCACATCATGCATCAAAGCCAAAGAGGATGTATCAGTAAACTACTGGCTCTATAATGCGTCGTGCTCGAAGCAGAAAAAACAAACCTCTGGTCTAGATGTGCACTAGCGTCTGGAATCGCACATGGATCTCCGGGTGACTGGGAGCTGTTCATCTCTCGCCGCATACCATGCAGAATCCCTGGCTGCCTATTTTCATCGTCTCACGCTGACATGCCTGCGCATGCAACCCAGGTTCGAACGCATCTTGGGCTGCGCCGGTCCTTCAGTTTGGATGTCCGGACACATGCCGGCCACGATCCATCCGCCGCCGCATGGGAGGAGGGGTCAACTTTGTTACGACCTGAGCCCCTGGCTCTCAATACTATTGCCTTGTTTGCGGCATATTCACCTGGATTCCCCATTAGACGATCTGACAATTTTCTGATACCCTGTTACGGAGCAGTATGAACTCGAGGGATACCTATGTCCCATCTAGTACAAGGCCAGCCAGAGTGTTACGAACATATCACCTCCGTACGTCATGCCCCAGACTGATGCGGTAGATAGTATCCTACATCATTGTGCACGGATTTGTTGGCTGGCCATGATTTTTCTGCCTGGCATAGTGATCACGGTCACTGATGAGCAACGTGTCCTATCAGCAAGAAAGGACAGGTCGAGGCCGTCGTGGAAGAGGCGGGAACGATCTGGCTGGGGGAATTATGAACGAAGCTCAAGGTAGATCTACAGTACAGAATGCGTCAATGGTGCGTGCAACTGAGCTGAAGCGAGAGCGACGGCCGTTTGCGCTGGTTGAATCTCCGCATAACAACTTCTTACTTGTCGTTACAAACTCGTAAGCCAATTTCAATCGCCGCCTGGGGCGTCATTGCGATCGAGACTCCGGCTCGATCCACCACTGTCCCAATCCCATCCACGCAGCCAGCACAACGCTCCAGACGGAGCATTCTCCCCGCCCCAAGATAGTGAGTCTCACCGTCGCGCCCGTTCTCCGTCCAGAACACGCTCCAAGGCCCGCTCAGGACGACGCGCAGATCTATTGAGTATATTGGAGCCCACGTCCGCACCACGCGGAGGACGCATGACTGCAGTGTGCGTACCCTGAGCCCGGCGGAGTCAAGTTCGCAGCGAGGCTGTTGGTCAGATATCGGATTCGTAGGTTATAAGGCGGTGAGTGCTGAGGCTCAGTAGGTTTCGTATCTGGTACTTCAATTTTCATCGTTTAGCGTCTACAGCTCGACGTGCACTGCTAACAATCGTCCGTGTGGGTGAGCGCGCGTGGGTCCACGACGAGTCTCGCTGATTGGCCGCTGGTTCACAGCATTCTATTACGGACGCGACCCCCACACGACCCATACCATACTCACTTCGCCTTACGCATCCATCTCGCATCCTCCCGCTCATTCACCCGCTTCTACATTCACACCATGAAAAGCTGTCTCAAGCTCCCGCGTCCTTCTCCGTCAGCCTCGCCTGCTTCTACGAGCCCGAGCTCAAGCCCGAGCCCCCTCACCGCGAGCCTCCCGTCGCTCGCCGACCGACGCAAGTCCGTCACCTTCCTCCCCGCCAGCCCCTGCGAAGACGGCGGCAGCGACGGGGACGACAACGACGACGACCGGTTGCGCGTAAAAGAGGAGGTCTTCTACGTGGACGAGTGGGATCGCTCCCCCGCGGAGACGACGCGCAAGCTGAACTACAAGTACGTGCGTCTTGTTCCGGGTGTCGGCCTATGCTGACGAGCGGCTGTGCTCTGCGCATGCAGGGACGTGCTGGAGCTCATGGAGCTCCGCCTCGCGCTCCCGCGGATCGGCGTCGGCAGGCGGCGGAGCGGCTCCCTCGAATCGGACTGAACACGCGCCGGATGGCGTGCTCGCGCTCGTCGCTTTTTGCTCCGTATGGGCTTTGCGGTGCAAGTGCGCGCTGGACGCGGCACGTTTTCTCGTTTGCTTTGGATGGACTAGGACTTCTCGCTCGTTTCGGACGGACGGACGGACAGACGGATCTCTCTTTTCGCTTTTCGCTTTTCGCTTTTACCTTTTGCGTACCGCTCTCTACAGATGATGGACTCTCTACATACCCTTAGACCTAACGTTATACCGTAGCACTGATAATCCCCACGCTCTCTTCGTTTCGGTAGGCATCTGATGGACTTGCGACGTGGACTAACGTTTGTGTACTGTATCAATAGTAGTTTCGTACGTTCGCGCGTTCTGGGCCTGGGCTTGTGGATAATCCATCAAAGTCAATTGGTTGCGTTCTCTCTGCGTAGACTTCTTATGTGGAGCTCGGGATCCGGAGGAATAAAGAGAGACGAGTCGTGCGCCCGTCCTGCGGTGGTGCGCAGCAAGTACCGCGGGCGTCACCCTCGGATTAGTACGCCGTTACACACTCGCGTTTCATGTAAAAAGATGCGATGCGCGGATATGTTCTAGACGCAGGAAGTAGCGCCAGCCAGGAATTGGGCATAATCGCCGGTATCATTAGCCGTATTGCAGCAACAGCAGAAATAGACTGCAATGGAGGCCGTTACAAAGTAACAACGCAGAATATTCGGACGCGCAGACGACTCATACCAACGAAAGGGAACCTCACGGCATCCGTAGTCCGTGCGGATCGTTGTAAACCTATGGGCATCGGATGTCGCTTTGTAACATGTACAGTGAAATGCTGTATATCCGGTACACACTCAAAGTACAACCATGCTCACCTGAGTCATCTCAATATCCCTGCCTGACGCGATACGGATTCGCGACAGTAACGTAGTTCTCGGAGTGAGAGCCTACTTCGAGCAGTTTTGCCTTGGTCACACGGACATGATCGGAGGCGAGAAATTCGACACCAATGGAGTGACATTGGTACAAGGAACTGGCCATTCTATTAGTCTGTATGTGTCAGTGACATTCACAGTAAGTTCATGCGAATTGCATCCCCGTCGACACTCCAATCGGTGTACAGGTTCATTGATAAATCAGCATGCCCGTGTTGTCATGATCACGGCATCATAAATGGATACAGTCACCGTACTCTACTCACGAAGATCACCCAATCACAATCGTGTCCAACTTGGATTTAAACATTCTCGATCGGATGCACCTCATGCAGCGGTCTTCGGTCGCCATCCATTGAACTGTGCAATGCGATAAGGGGGCGGCACGGCCCCGGCCTTGCGCATTTACGCACGGTGACCGTCATGCAGTAATTTCATGTGTTCGCTCCGATGTGGAGGCGCCACAATGCCCATGATCACTGAATTATTGGTCAGGCGGCCTACACGAGTCATCGACTGACTTCAATTTAGTCAAGCACGATAAAACTAGACAGCAATAACAGGATGTACAGCAAAGCCAGCCAAGAGGAGAAGTTATGAATGAAAGCAGAGCAGAAGAATATGAGAACTCTGGTACCAGCATGAACGCATCCGATGTGGTCCTGAGCAGAATTCTATTTCAAGGACCCGTCAGGAGGCGGCGCTAATAAGATTTGTAATACGCACCAGTTCAAGATCTAGTAAAGGAACAGGAATAATATGCATTGGTCTCAAGCTAATATTCCTGCCAGACGCGATACGGATCCGCGACCGAAACATAATGCACAGAGTCGAAGCCCATTTCGAGCAGCTTTGCTTTGATTGCAGGGGCACGCTTAGAAGTCTCCTCCTGGAACGGCTCAAAGTCCGTAGGTGTGGCGTTCGCGTCAGTCCTCGAGTCTGTGAGAATGAGATAGACGGGACCATGAATGGTATCGCAGGGGACGACTCTGATTGGGATTGCGTGCTCTTCGATATATCGTTCGACAATGTCGATGTATATCCAGTCGGGGGGCACGTCGTGGCCAATTGAGCGGCACCATCTCCACACTTGGTCCTCTGTCAGTCCGTATCCGCCGACGATCCACATCTGCAATGGGCTCAGTAAGTCTCTCTGACCAAACAATTTCGCATGGTTATGCGTCCTACCTTGACGTAAATTATAGTGAGAGACAAGGTAGGTACGAGGGAGGACTGAACAGTCTACTGTGCAAACCCAACTTATGACCTTGTCATGCCATGTGATTGATCAAGCGGGGATCGAACTGTTCACAAAATCTCCGCAAAATACACGTAAGTCTGCGTACCCTAAACGTCGACAAGCTTACGTTGACCTCGGTGAGGTGATAGGTCGTGGACGCCTAGTCTGAAGTAGATCCCCGTATATATAGGATTCTGCAATTCTTATCGATCTACGCGTGTTCTATGTAGGAATCATAGACCGATAAGCTGGTAGGTTGCATAGGTCTAGCACCTACATATTCTTGGCTGAGCCGGGGGGGGGCCTACAACCACATACAATAGCATCTGACGCGCTTACGATATGGCCTAAGTAATGTTCAGTTTGATGACATTTCTTCATCAGATCACAACTTGAGATTGAGGATTATTTTGCTCACTTCAGGCTAATATCCCTGCGAGGCGCAATACGGGCCCGCGACAACGACATGATTCAGAGTCAAAGCCCTTTTCGACCGGCCTCGCCTTAGGAACACGCTGGGAAGCCTCTTCTTGAAACGACCCGAAGTCCGTAGGTGCGGCGTCTGCATCGGTCCTCAAGTCTGTGAGAACGAGATAGATAGGTTCCTTGAGGCAGTTAGAATTGCATGTTGTTTAATATATCATCTGACAATGTGGACGCATAGCGGCACCATCTCCACATTTGGTCATATGTCACTATATATCTGCCGACGATCCACGTATATGCAGATAAGTCAATACGGTAGGTACATTCTGGTTATATACGTACCTTATAAATCTAAATCAGCCCCAGAATGAAGCTAGCACCGGACGTATAGTGAGGAGTTTAAGAATTAGCGATAGTTCAACGTCGGAAATCCAGGATCATGTAGATTACATACCTTCAATGATACATGAGGCCCCCATGGCATCACTTGAAGATAATCTCATGTTGATTATATGCGCAATGTCCAGGTGGTAGCCTGAGCAGTGAAGATATTGTACGCCGCAGCATTACTGGCCCGCATCAGTGTAAGCTCTCCGACGTAGCATATCGACGCGGCTTGCGTTTCGTGTTTCCCAGTGGTGAGTAGGATTATTTTGAGAGACTTCGAGGCGGGAATGACCGCGGCCGGACGATACCTGATCAGTGCGGACCAACGGAGGGATCCCAACAACGATTGAATCAGCCTCTGGACGCAGTGCGCAGGAGTCAAAGAATGTATGCGCCTGGACGACGCGCTTATTGCGGCGCCGGCGCCGCCATGATTCTTGGTAACTCTTCCCCGTCAGCACATCATGCATCGGCAGTCTCCTTGCCTAGACGAGCAAAATCCAGGATGTACAGAGAAGCCCGCAAAGTCTGCTGTCGTGACTCGCCATAGTTGAAGAGGACAAGATAAGACATGGACCCAAACAGGGCGGTGATTCGTCTGACGGCTCCGACGTTGTGCATGCGTAGCTCTTGGATGATTTTTGCGAAAATTGCGATTGTCCTACTTGGCGAAACAAGCAATGTGGGCCACCTCGCATTTAAAGATCAGAAGAGTGCCAAGGCGGCACTCAACCGAAGCACCAGCGAGGTGAATATAGTGCACAGAGAGCAACATACAGAACTTGAAGCCATTCTGGCCCTGGGTTTGTGGATAACTGTTTAAAAACCAATGATATCTGAAACACTTTCATAAGAAACTTGATTGTTTACATTTGAGTCAAATCCTCATTTTATCATTGAATAATGTGTGACCATCATGTGACTCATGATCACATTATTGGCACTATGCCCCCTGTGTATGGATCATTGAATTCTTGACCAGGCAGCCTACGAGTCATCAACAGATCTCAAATCAATCAAGCACAATAAATCTAGACAGCAATAACAGGATGTACAGCAAAGCCAGCCAAGGGGAGAAGTTTGAATGAAAGCAGAGGAATGCGAGAACACTGGCGCGAGCATGAGAGCATCCGATGTGGTCCTGAGCAGAATTCTATCTCAAGGACCCGTCAGGAGGCGGTGATCATAAGGTTTGTAATACGCATCAGTTCAAGATCTAGTAAAGGAACAGGAATAATATGCATTGGTCTCAAGCTAATATTCCTGCCAGACGCGATACGGATCCGCGACCGAAACATAATGCACAGAGTCGAAGCCCATTTCGAGCAGCTTTGCTTTGATTGCAGGGGCACGCTTAGAAGTCTCCTCTTGGAACGGCTCGAAGTCCGTAGGTGTGGCGTTCGCATCAGTCCTCGAGTCTGTGAGAATGAGATAGACGGGACCATGTATGGTATCGCAGGGGACGACTCTGATTGGGATTGCGTGTTCTTTGATATATCGTTCGACAATGTCGATGTATATCCAGTCGGGGGGCACGTCGTGGCCAATTGAACGGCACCATCTCCACACTTGGTCCTCTGTCAATCCGTATCCGCCGACGATCCACATCTGCAATGGGCTCAGTAAGTCTCTTTGACCAAACAGTTTTGCATGTATATGCTTCCTACCTTGACGATTACAGCAAAAGACTGAATCGACAGAATGCAGTGCGGCGTTACCGTTAGGGGAGGCACGAGGGAGGACTGAGCGGTCTAAGTACTGCAGACCCAACTTATGACCTTGTCATGCCATGTGGTTGATCAAGCGGGGATCGAACTGTTCACAAAATCTCCGCAAAATACACGTAAGTCTGCGCCCCCTACAGTAAACTTCGACAAGCTTACGTAGACCTCGGTAAGGATAACAGGTCGTGGACGCCTCTGTACCAGGTCCCCGTATATGTAATATTTTGTAATTCTCATCGATCTACGCGTGTTCTATGTAGGAATCATAGACCGATAAGCTGGTAGGTTGCATAGGTCTGGCACTTACATATTCTTGGTTGGGCCGGGGGAGGGGGGCCGCAATCGTACACAATAGCATCTGACACACCCACGATATGGCCTAAGTAGTGTTCAGTTTGATGACATTTCTTCATCAGATTACAACTTGAGGTCGAGGATTATTTTGCTCACTTCAGGCTAATATCTCTACCTGGCACAATCCGGATCCGCGACAACGACATGATTCAGAGTCAAAGCCCTTTTCGACCGGCCTCGCCTTAGGAACACGCTGGGAAGCCTCTTCTTGAAACGACTCGAAATCCGTAGGTGCGGCGTCTGCGTCGGTACTCGAGTCTGTGAGAACGAGATGGATGGGTTCCTTGGGCAGTCGCATGGGATGACTCTGGTAAAATTTGCATACCGTTCAATACGTCGCTTGATAATGTAGATATATAGCGGCACATCTCCAAACTTGGCCATATGTCACCATATATCTGCCGACGATCCACATCTATGCATATAAGTCAGTACGGTGGGTGCATCCTGATTATATGCATACCTTGTAGATTTAAATCAGCCCCAGAATGAAGCTAGCATAGTATATACAGTGAGGAGTTGAGAAATTGGCAGTGCCGCGTTCAAAGTCGGAAAATCCAGGAACATGTGAGCTACGTACCCTCGGTTATCCGACGTAGCATATCCACGCGGCTTACACCTCGCGTATCCCAGTGGTGAGTGAGATCGTGTTGAGAGAATTCGGGGCGGATGTGACCGCGGCCGGACGATGGTACACACAAACGGAGTGATCCCAGCCACAATGATTGAATCAGCCTCTGGACGCTGCGCAGCTCAAAAGAGTGTATACACCTGAACGACCGAAACCCTGCGAGGAGCCACCGCGCCCGTCCGTTCCGCCAAAACCCAGTTTGACTGAAAGTCTACGCTTTCAGTCAGTGGCGGCTATATGTGCAGTTCGCGGAACCTGCTAAGCCCGAACGGTCCAGGGCTTACAACGACGCGCTTATCGTCGCCATGATTCTTGGGAATTCTTTCCCTCAGACGTCAGCACATCAGCAGTCTCCTTGCCTAGATGTGATAACTGAGTTAGATCTGGGATACAGGGAAGCTCACAAAATCTGCTGTCGTGAGCCACAGTTCAAGAAGAGGACAAGATAAGACCTGATGGCTCCGACTTTGTACATTCGCAACTCGGGTGGTTTTCTTGAAGTAACAAGGAAGAGTATAATGCGCAGACGACTTATGAAAACGAAAGGGAACCCCACAGCATACGTAGTTCGTATGGATCGTCATGAACTTATGGGCGTGGCCTTGTTGCAGTGAAATTTTGTATATCCGTCACGACTCTTGAAACTCATACTACGTGGACGGACCTCATCTCGCGCAACGCAGGTCATGCAAGGGCAGATTAAGTTATACTTACTTAGGGTCCATGCGCGTCAGCAACTGCTCAGTCAAAAAAAGTCAAAACTTGACTCACCCATCATATGTGAAGACAATGACGAAGATCTCTCCTTCATCCATCCCAAACCCTGCGCCGTATATTATCGCGCACAAAATGCTCACTTAATTGGACATGCCTCTGTGAGTGCCATGCCTTCTAATGATAGCGAGAAGGGTGATCGCGATAGCCCAGACTCGGAAGTCTGAAGTCCACAAGAGTACATTGCGTTGTCGTGCACAACCTCTCGCGACAGCTGGATGATACATCAAGGTTAGTGTTTGGATCATCTTTGGGTACCCACTGTCTTATTTCTAATCGCGTTGCAATTCATACACACAGACACAGTTACAGATGGTTATCCAATTACCGCATCCAACCTCCAACTGCAGTCCTGGTACCGTTTTCCTGATGCCTATCACTGCGCCGTATAAGCAGAGAGGCTCAGCCAATAACTATATATCCATAATTAGAACATCTTCTAGGAGAACAAACGAGCTCCAGACACTCACAGGCAACGCTCTAGTAACGCATCGTCAGTCGTGTAGGTGTACACACTCGGTGCGCCAGCCTCCGTCTCGTTGAACATCATTTCCGTATGTCCAGATACCCAGGTATTCCATGCAGGCGTGATGTCGCCGGAATTGTACCTGTCGTTAGGGTTCATGGTCATAGCTGTAGCCATAAACCCGTTCGAGAAGGCGGTGATGAACTCGGAGTTATCATAAGGAGGGCCATCACTGCAGGAGGAATTGGTCGACGACCGTACATCCAGCCTAAAGATCACTCACGACGTGAAGTAGTAGCTGACATCGTTGCCATGAAGTGCAGGTGGGATAGCAAATTCGCCCTGAATATTGCGAGTCAAGAATGGTGAACGTCTGTAAACGTCTTGAAGCCTACCTTCCAAGCTCTGTTACCGAATGCTTGAAGGAGATAGTAGGTAGGACAGATGAAGATGGCTTCGAAAGTACGCCAAATGAGTATTGTAATGAGCACATGCATCATATGGCACTTACATTCGCCCATTGCGTAATTAGCTTGCTCCACATTGGTGCCGAGGCCTTGATACAAAGGGGTTGCCATTGCAGCTTGCCAGGGTTGAACGTCAGGGAAGACGGTGGAAACATAATCCGATATGTCCATCGTAAGTGATTGATCAACAAAGATATTTCCTTCGTGTGCGTTGGTCACTGCTAAAAGTACCTCCTACAAGAAGAATTTCAGCCTATCCTCGATGTCTCGTAGTGGACTGGCCTACCCCGTTGAGGCGTCCGCCTGTAATCGTGACGGTCGGGCGTTCAACAATGAAGGTACCGTCGACAACAGGGACAAAGACAAAAGTGCCATAGTAACCAGCCAAGTTCATGTCATAGTTCAATGTCTGTAAAGTGTCTACGTCGACGGTGCGAAGGCATGACAGGCTATCAGAGCTCGAACCACATCTGCATAAAACTGTCATTTCTCGAAGGTAATATAGCAACTCGACGTGACTTACTCCGTTCCTGCGACGACGTCGCTGTACACCAGCTTTTCGAGTTGTTAGACGATAGATACGCAGAGCCCCATGATCTCACCTCAGGAATGCGATCATTGTAGTTGTACTGAGACGGAAGGAAT